CCAGTCCCGACTGTAAACCGGGGAGACTGCTTGTACAGTCGCGTAGTGGCGTTGAACATGTGGCTCCAGTCTGCATGTAGCTCGTTTAACTTTATTTTTGTGAATAACTTTGGCCTTTTCTGGAAGCGTCACGTGGCTTATCGTCCAGACGGTCTGCACCCAAATAGATATGGCACCAGCTTGTTGACGGATTACCTACGCCACGTTATTCAGTGTTCCCCGAGGGGGGCGTGACTGTTTACATCGGAGCCCCCACCACCACCACCCTCCTCCTTCTTCTCCTGCTCACCAGCACCGGGTGAGTACTGTGGTGCAAACACTGACCCCTTTCCGTCTGGCAGTGAAATAACAGTCTCGCCTCTGAACCGTGCTGCCTCCTGCTCTAAACAACGAAGCAATGCCGTCCTGAATCCGGGACTTACACAGCAAAAGAGTTCACATGTTAGACAAATAGAAACTGTGTGTGTTCCTCGCATCAGTTTCAAAAAATGTTTTTATTTGAATGGAAAACAAAATCATAACAGAAGGACAGCAGTTAGACATTCAAATCTAATTCCTGCTCCTTGTAAAAATCAATTAACTAAACCCACTGTTACTGATATTAATTTTAAAATTGCTATGCTTAATGTCAGATCACTGTGCAACAAATCATTTTTAATTAATAATTTTATCCGTTCTTATGATCTTGATTTTATGTTTCTGACTGAAACTTGGCTTGACCAGAGTACAGGTAATGCGGTTTTAATAGAAGCAACGCCACCAAACTTCAAATTTGAATCTGAAATACGAGAAAATAAAAGGGGGGGAGGCATTGCTGCATTATTTAGAGATCGTATTATCTCATAGAATTCTCCTTGGAAATTTTCTATCATTTGAGTATATTTCTTTTAAAATAGAACAAAAACAATCTCCTTCTATTCTTATCATTGTCCTGTACAAGCCACCGCAGTCTTGTCACAATTTCTTTGATAATTTCACTGAGTTGCTTTCAGTTGTTTGCACCGATTTTGATAGTTTAGTGATTACAGGTGATTTTAATATTCATGTGGATAATGGCAATGACAAAAATGCAAAAGAGCTGAGTTCTGTACTTGAAACATTTGGTCTCACTCAGCACGTGAGTGGCCCCACCCACAGCAAAGGGCACACTCTAGACCTGCTGGTTACAAAGGGGGTTAATATTTTAAATGTAAATGTGGTTGACGTGGCTCTGTCAGATCACTTCTGTGTATTTTTTGACATGTGTTTTGATAGTAAACAACCATATATATCTGAATCTGCAATTGTCAGACACAGACACATAAATGAAAACACAACCGAACTATTCATGGGAATGATAAACTTTGAGAACACATTGTGTTCTACTGTTGACGAATTGTTTAACTCTGTCACCGCCAATGTTATAAATGTTCTGGACATCATCGCTCCTGTGAAGGTTAAAATGATTACAAATAAGCCAAAGGCCCCCTGGACTAAAATGGACTCAGTCATGGTACAGAAGAGAGAGTGCCGTAGGGCCGAGCGGAAGTGGCGAAAATCCAATCTCCAGGTTGATCATGATATCTTCAAAAATGAGTTGTGCAAGTTTAACAGGGTGCTACGTAGAACAAGAGAAATTTATTTTTCTAAAACCATTGATGGCTGCAATAATAATCTACGACTTATGTTTTCAACAGTTAACGGATTAACAAACCCCCATGTTCAGCTGCCATTCGAATTTGCTTCAGAATCTAAATGTAATGAGTTTGCACAATTTTTCAATGACAAGGTTCAGAGCATCAAAAACGCCATCACCTCCAAGGCAGAAATAACATTACAACAGCCGGTGAGGCTGTTTGAGCTATCGCACTTTGCACCAACAGATAATGAAACTGTCCAAGATGTTGTCTCTAGCCTTAGTTCCTCCACATGTAGCCTGGATGTACTACCCACTAAATTTTTTAAGTCTGTTTTGAGCAGTCTTTTACCTTTGCTCACACAAATAGTGAACATGTCTTTCTCATCTGGAACATTTCCAATGGCCCTGAAAACGGCAGTCATCAGACCCCTCCTAAAAAAGAGGAGTCTAGATGCCACAGTTCTTAAGAATTATCGCCCCATTTCAAATCTGCCGTTTATGGGAAAAATTCTGGAAAAAGTTGCTTACCAACAACTTACAGAATTCTTAGTAACTAATAGTTCGTTTGATGCGCTCCAGTCCGGCTTTAGAGCCAATCACAGCACTGAGACTGCACTAGTGAAGGTTACAAATGACATCCGACTTAACACCGACACAGGAAAAGTCACAGTTTTAGTAATGTTGGATCTGAGTGCTGCGTTCGACACAGTCGACCACGAGATCCTCATGCAGAGACTAGAGCACTGGGTGGGTGTCACTGGGACTGCCCTAAGTTGGTTTAGGTCTTACCTAGAAGACAGGAAATACTTGGTTCAGATAGGAAACTGTGTCTCAGATGATATGGCTCTGACCTGCGGAGTGCCACAGGGATCAATTCTGGGGCCTCTTCTGTTCAATATTTACATGCTGCCGTTAGGTCAGTTAATACGCTCCAACAATGTATCCTACCACAATTACGCTGATGACACTCAAATTTATGTCTCACTTACTGCAGGAGAACATGGACCAGTGGAATCACTCCTTCACTGTACTCAACAGATTAGTGATTGGATGCAAAATAACTTCCTTCAGCTAAACGCAGACAAAACAGAATTGATTGTCTTTGGTCCTCAGAAACAAAGAGAGAGCGTTATTCGTCACCTCCAGTCTCTCTCCCTGGAACCTGTAGGCAAGGTCAGAAACCTAGGAGTTATAATGGACTCAGACTTAAATTTTAACAGTCATATCAAATCAGTAACATCAGCAGCATTTTACCATCTGAAAAACATTGCCAAAATTAGAAACATAGTGTCTAAATCAGATCTGGAGATTCTCATCCATGCATTTGTCTCCAGTAGGTTAGATTACTGCAATGGCCTGCTCACAGGTCTCTCCAAACAGGCTGTAAAACAACTGCAGTATGTCCAAAATGCTGCAGCTCGAGTCCTGACCAGGACCAGGAAATATGACCACATTAGTCCAGTTCTCAGGTCTCTGCACTGGCTTCCTGTGGCTCAGAGAATAGACTTCAAAGCAGCACTGCTTGTGTACAAGTCTCTCCATGGCCTCGCACCAGGGTACTTAAGCGACTTGTTAGTCCCATATGAACCGACCCGGACTCTGAGGAGCACAGGAGGTAGCCTCTTACTGGTTCCAAGAGTCAGAACTAAACATGGGGAGGCAGCGTTTGAGATTTATGGAGCTAAAATCTGGAACAATCTTCCTGAAGATGTGAGGCTAGCATCTACTCTGGCAATTTTTAAATCAGGGCTAAAAACTGTTCTTTTTAGCTGTGCATACGGCTGAAGGATTTTATTGATACATACTCTTTTTTTTTTTATGCATTGTGGTTATTTATTATTTTAATCCCGTGTGTGCTTTTAATATTTTAAGTTTTTTTTTTTTTTTTTTTCATTTATTTGTGATTTTATTCTGTTTTTAATGTATTTATTGATGTCTCTGATTTGTGTGATATTATGTGGGTTGTGAGGCGCTTTGAGTGGCCTTGTGTTGGAAAGGCGCCATACAAATAAAGTTGATTGATTGATTGATTGATTACTGCCACCTGGTGGGACATTCCTTCTTGACGTTGTGGACACTAAAATTGTTTTCCTGTTTAATGCATATGCACAGGTCTGGTATGTAATAAATGGATAAATACTTTGTCTGTTAAAGACAATATCTTCTTCATTGGCAACACTCTATTGTTTCATTCTGATGATTACAATAACCTTTAACTATATATTTGTAGTAGTATATTCCTATTGATGGATGTAAAAGTTATCTTTATCATCTCTATTAATACAATGCAGTGCTTCTCAATTATTTTCTGCCAGGTCCCCCTTAGGGAGAAGAAACATTTCGTGTCCCCCTTACATCCTTAGATTCACTCAGAAAATGTGTTCTCAGCCCAAAATGTCAATTAGTAAAAATAAAAATAAAACAGGAGGGCTGTTGTGGTCTGATTTGTTCACATTTTAATTTTGGGCACAAACTTGGACACAACCAACATGCATAATTGATGCAAGGTAAAATGTAGGTACCCCAGCTTTAATTTAGTGAGTTTTGGTTGTGCTTCAGGAGGAGACACGGGGGAAGACATGGGCACTTCCTGAGTCTCCCATAATACAGCTCTCTTTCTTACAGCGGTGTATCTATCGCATGCAATAGTTGCTCACTTGGAACAAACTGTCCAGGGTTCTGTCCAAGCTGGTCACATTATGGCCACGCTACGGTTGCGCCCTTGCCATGTTCTTGTCAAAGTCGATGTTTAGTGCTTCTCCTGAAAGTATCTATGGCCAGACTGCTCCTGCCTTCATTTCTCCCTGTCTAGAGTAGAGTAGAAGCCTGTCTCATATTTTCAGGAAGACTTTTCCAGATTTTAGCTGCATAAATCTGAAACAATGCCTACCCATATTTAGTCCTGACTCTGGGTACCAGCAAAAGCCAGTCCGTGTGCTCCTCAGAGTCCGATTTGGTTCATATGGCACTAACATGTCTCAGATGTGTATTTGGTTCTTCTATACCAGGCAACAGTATGTTTGCAATGTCAGAAGCTTCTGAGGAAGATGGAAGATATCGTAATAACTGCTTACTTTCTGTTGTCTGGTATAGAAGAACCAAATTTGTTTCTACAAAGAAGACTATGAACCTTCCTAAACTGTCTCTGATGCACTTTGATGCGAGGCCATGGTGAGACTTGTGCACAGTTGCTTTAACGTCTGAACAGAGACCTGAGAACTGGACTAATGTGATCGTACTTCTTGGTTCTAGCCAGGATTCAAAACGCAACGATTTCCTGAGCATTGGTGTATTATTAGTAAGATTGTGAGATTTGTCAAACATGCTGTGGAAATTATATATCAATTGTTAATTATTTTTATGTCTTTGTTCTTGCATGCAGATTGTGTACGTAGCTCCGATGAAAGCCCTGGCAGCAGAGATGACAAACTATTTCAGCAAACGCCTGGAGCCGCTTGGCATCGCTGTGAAGGAGCTGACCGGAGACATGCAGCTCAGCAAAGGAGAGATCCTACGGACTCAGGTATTTAGCAAATAGCATTTGTTGGGGCCTGTGTAATATTTCAATGATTATGTATCCCTTTTCAATTAAATTGTATTTAATTTTATTCAAATATAAAGAAGCATCAGGAAGGCGTCATATCTAACATGCATGCATTTTTAATAGTGAACTTTAACTTGCTTTAGCTCTGGTTGAATTGAATACACTAAACATATTTGATATCAGTACATTAACAGATTACCTGAATTAAAATGCTCATTTATTGCCACAATTTTTAATGCTGTGCCCTTATGGGTATTTTTAAGGCAAAGACACATTTCTGTCATCCTAATGAATTGTGCTATTCCTCTTTTCCATTCTTATGATCCAGAGAGTTGATACTCTAAACATTATTTTAGTAATATTTGAGCATGTAATTTGAGTAAAATAGAGGTGAATTTCAGAAAATTAATTTCATATCTTTTCAATCCAAGAGAAGGTGGATTTGAGAGATTGTACAGCTTAAACGGTGACGGTGAAAAGGTGGGGCTTAGTCACAGAAATGAGGCCAATTCCCTCTCAGAGAGAAGGTGCTTTCACTTTGTGTTGAAAGCTAGCACAGTGATCAGTCACATGACTGCATTCACTACCACTGTAGAGGCATTGGTAGTGATTGTTCTTTTTATTTAGATATCATATTTCACAAGATGTTTTGATATATATTGGATTTCATGCATGTAATCATCAAACTAGTGCACTTTTAATGGCATCTTCAGTCCCTGGGAGACTACATTTGACAAATTAATAAAACAAACAAACAAAACAAAAACACTACTTGAGGTACAACTTTCATGTGACTAAATTGTTACTTTACATTTAAAATTAGATTTTTTTGCCATTCATGGTACAAATATTAAAAGTCCAGTCTTATCCATTAATCCTGCTGTGCGTTAAAATACAAAGCCTCTGTAATGGGCAGAGTTGAGACCCTTAAAAGCACTGAAGGCAACTTTAAAACTCCTCATTATAAAGTATTATTTGAATGTCAGGCTGCGGTGAATCAGCACTTACTGCAAAAGTTCTCACAGTTTCCAACCAGCGTTTGCAGCTTGAGTAATTAGTCACATCGTGCAAAGAGAGAGATAGAGAGGAAGGGCACAGAATGGAGGGGTAGAGAGGGGGTAGAAAGAGAGAGAGTAGTCATTATCTCCTCAGCTGTGAGTGGCTGTGATTTAGCATTGCTGCACAGGAAGCTCATCATGGCATTGTCAGCTCAGGTAACGCCACTCAGAAATTATGTGAGAAAATGTTAAGGACATTGGGCCTCATTCACGAATAACTTCGTAAGAAACTACTCAACTTTCTTCTCAAGTTGTCCTTAAGTAGATTTCTAAGAAGTCCCCACGTGGGATTCATCAACGCACTCGTAAGCCGCTGAATTGTTCGCAGCTGTTCTCTCAGATTGATGAATCCCATTTCATCGTAAGTACAGCGCGCGTGCCAGGTGCTTCATTAGCATAGGTACTTAGCATAAGTAACCGCCCACTAATGCCCATATAAGGGACTGCAGGGCCGTGTGCAGACGGCCTAACAGGCCTAAAGCAAAGAGTTACACGGAGCAAAAGAGTCACCCTTTTTTCTTCTTTTACCAGACTGAGAATAAAGTTATAAAATGTTGACTTAAAAGTCGAAATATTATGATAATAAAGTCGAACTAGCTTCGAACTAGATTAATCTAAGAATATGATGAGATTAATCTCAAAATGTTATGAGCTTAATTTAAAAATATATTATGTATTATTTTAAAGATGAATCTCAAAATGTTTTGAGATTAATCTCAAAATATTTTGGACCCTGGGAGGAGATCCAGCGCGGACCAGCGCTGAGACCAATGCAGACCCGAGGAGAGACTGGAATGACCAGCACACAGAAACCAGCGCGGACAGGAGAGACCGCATAGACTGGAGTGACCTGACTGGAGAGACCGGTGCGCAGAGACCAGCGCGGACCAAAGATAGACCGCATAGACCAGACTTGAGAGACCAGCGCGGACCCGTATGGATCCAGGAGCATGCAGCACGGACCCGTATGGAGAGAGACCAGTGCAGACCCGTATATGGGAGAGACCAGTGCAGACCCGTCTAGATCCATGGGAGAGACCAGTGCAGACCAGTATAGATCCATGGGAGAGACCAGTGCAGACCCGTATAGATCCATAGGAGAGACCAACGCAGAGACTCAGCGCGGACCCAGTAACCTCCTGCAGCAGCAGTATATATGCCGTTGTTCTGTGGCCCGTGGATAAAGAAATGCCCCCTAAAAATAGGAAGGGGTCACTAATACACGGCAAGATTTCCAATGTATTTGATAAAGCGTTGGCACATTTCATTTCAAAATGAATTAAAAAGTAGGCCAGATCTGCAGTGAAAAAGGCGGTATATAAATAAATATTACTAATAAAGATTACTACAAATAAATAAATACATACATCAATATGACGGACATATCACTGGAATGTTGTATTTTTATTAAACTTCACCAAAGAGGACAACCCCGGCGTGTGAACATGTCGGCACTGAATGCGTACGAGTGCTCCTGAGGACTCGTAGGATTTGTACTTGCCCAAGAGAAATTCTGGTTACGAGAAATATTCGTGAATGCCACTTTCTTCGTAAAAACCGCGTAAGTAGGATTTACGTACAAATCTGTTCCTAAGAACCGTTCGTGAATGAGGCCCATTGGGTTTTGTAAGACTTGAACTTCAATTACACTACAATAATTATGTTTAAACAATAGAAATGTGAATGTTCTGTAAACTCTGTGCCTTCTTGTTTTCAATGCAATCTGCTATTTTTGTTTTTTCCTGTTCTTTTAAGACACAACTTTTAAATAAGTTGTGACGTGACGGACGCGGCTTAAGACGCAGCGTGATGGGCGCGGCTTAAGACGCAGCGCGATGGGCGCGGCTTAAGACGCAGCGTGATGGGCGCGGCTTTAAGACGCAGCGCGATGGGCGCGGCTTAAGACGCGGCTTAAGACGCAGCGTGATGGGCAGCGGCTTAAGACGCAGCGCGATGGGTGCGGCTTAAGACGCGGCTTAAGACGCAGCGTTAGAGACGCAGCGTGACGGGCGCGGCGTAAGACGCAACGTGACGGACGCGGCGTAAGACGCAGCGTGATGGGCGCGGCTTAAGACGCAGCGCGATGGGCGCGGCTTAAGACGCAGCGCGATGGGCGCGGCTTAAGACGCAGCGCGATGGGCGCGGCTTAAGACGCAGCGCGATGGGCGCGGCTTAAGACGCAGCGCGATGGGCGCGGCTTAAGACGCAGCGTTAGAGACGCAGCGTGACGGACGCGGCGTAAGACGCAACGTGACGGACGCGGCGTAAGACGCAGCGTGATGGGCGCGGCTTAAGACGCAGCGCGATGGGCGCGGCTTAAGACGCAGCGCGATGGGCGCGGCTTAAGACGCAGCGTTAGAGACGCAGCGTTAGAGACGCAGCGTTAGAGGCGCGTTTGTGACGCACCTGCGTTTGTGACGCACCTGCGTTTGTGACGCACCTGCGTTCGTGGCGCGGCGTAGCTTTAGACGCAGCTCCAGTAAGCAGTAGCAAAAAGGCAGCAGGCTGAGGCAAGGTAATGCAGTTTTAGCGACAGTGAGGGTTAGAAATAGAGTATTAGTTTTGATGTAGTACAATCAAACATAGAGTTTGGCATAGTAGAGTGTTAGTTTCACCACTAGGTGGGAGTGCAGTATCTGTCAGATCACACGCCGATGTGGTTCAACAATAACGCGCATCATGCAGGAGCAGGAGTACAGAATAGGATTAGTTACCACAGCAATGTGTTATCAGTGGCAAGGAGGGGGCGGGGGTGTGTGGGAGTGCAGTGTTTGTTAAATCACCACACAGATGTGTTACTGTAAACTAGCAGTAGTGAGTGAGCAGGAATAAAGCATAGGATGCGTATCACCAGCGACATGCAGCAGAAGGAGAGCAGAGTTTACAGCATTAACCTTGGCTAATGCAGCAATGTAGCTTAACAATTATGTTTAAGAGGAGAAGCAGAAACAGAGCGTTAGCTTTTGTTATGTATAGCAGTAATGTGTTCTAATAAAACAATATGACATGCAGAAGGGGGCGGAATTAAAATGATTCGTTTCAGTGTAGTACAATCAAACATAGAGTGGTTATTAGTTTGAGCAATCAAAACAGCATGGAACAACAGCTAGACCGTGTTAATGTTACCACCATGGGCAGCAGTGTGGTCTAGGCGTGGCATGCAGAAGAAGGGGCAGGATTAAAATTATTAGTTTTAGTTTAGTGCAAGGAGGGGCGGAATTAGCGTATTAGTTTATTACAATCAAACATCAAGTTTGGCAAAGTAGAGATTTTAGTTGGAACAGAAACAGCAAGGGACAACAGCCAAAACAGTGTTAACGTTACAACCACAGCCAATCACTTGATCATGAGACGTGGTGCAGGGTAAAAGTCAAGACAGCAGCAATGTGGTCCCGGAAGTAGTGCCGGGACCGGAAAGCAATTTTGTGTTTAGACAATAAGAGGTGCGGCCCGTTTAGCAGTATGCCGAGACGGCTGGCGCCTTATGATCGTCAGAACACAGAATCAGAGTGGGATAGGATAGTACGAAGTATAGTAAGTAGTGTTATTGTTAGATAACAGGTAGACAATGCAGCAGAATGGTATTAGCAGTGGGGATGCGGCTCTGGCTTTTAGCGCGCCAGGGCCGGAAGTTAGCCGTATGCTAAAACAAAGGAGCGTAGCTAGCATTTAGCTTCCGAGGGCGGAGGTTTTAGCAGTAGTTTATACAACGAAAGTCTGGAGCGAGTTATACGGTTCGCACAAGCACGTATTTGCAGTGGTGGAATGGGGTTTGTATGTATGTACTGTAGGGTGCTGGTGTGTGTATACAACAGCAGGTTAGCAGGCAGAGAGAGTGGTGAGACAGAGTTAGCGTTAGCCGCCTTTAGCAAAACGATAGCATCACATTCAAACAGCTGCCATTTACAGCCTTTTACACAG